TGTGTATGTATATATATATATATATATATATATACGTTTTATTTAGAAAAAAAGCATGTAAAACAGGCACTTTTATGATAGAGGCATTGCAATTTATTTTGTGAATAACTCGGTGGATGAAGACATTTGTTTTCCAACCCGTCTTCTCATCATTTTTGGTAAGTGTCATATAAATAAGGTGAAATGGACCAATTGGAAGCCAAACGTTGTTATATTTTCAACTGACATCAACGAGTTTTCTCATTCAGTTGAAAAATAAGAAGCAGTAAATAGCCTAACATTATCTAATACATATACAATTACTGACTAATGTCAACCTCTATCACCCCATGTTTCAATTTATCTTCTTCATCTCTCAGTGTTATGTTTTACACATTCCACCCACATTTTACCTTTTTACTGTAAGTCTGTTCATATACTGTTAATATTATTGTTATGTGAGAAAAAGTAGATCCTGATGGAATCAGGTTATTAGACGAATCAGGTTATTAGACGTTAAACACTTTTTTGAATCATATACAGTGGAAACAATAAAGCAGTGATTATTCAGGGGTTACATGTTGCAGAATTTTGAAATGATTTACCTTTTTTTGATATGAATTTTTCCTGCAATAAACTTTGTATGATTATTTTTCTTTTATTATTTAAGAGTATATGTTCCATCTCCCTTTTAAACTTTTAAAAACAAATCCCCAAGATTTTTACTTTATATATAATTTTCCATATTAAAGAGGTTAAATGAACCTCTGATAGAGGTTCAGCTCTTTTAAAAAAAACATGTTTGTGTGTGCGTCTAATAGCCAACTTTCTAACGACTATTTTCTCCCTACCGATTTGTTTTTTGTGTATGATATTTAAAGTTTTAACATATTTTTCACTTTGAATAAGCTACCTTTTAGATTAAATAAATATTAGTGGATCCATGGACCTAGCATTTTAAATAAACATCAAAATACACACTGCGCTGTTGCATTACTTTAACCTTTCGATGTACTGCATAACAAATTCCCCTGGAGGCAAGATGGATCCAAGCCATGTGTCACACATTTTTTTAACTTTTGACCATGCTTCATTGACAGTTTACTCTCTTGATTGATTGATTTCTTAAAAATTACCCCTAATTATTTTTCTGGGTGAGAGGGGGGAAAAAACTAATTTAATGCATGGGTGATCACACTAATTGGGAGAAATGACATTGTCCAAGTTTCAGAGTAAATACAAATTATTGACTCTGTTATTGTTATCTGATTGTATATTGTCCCAAGTACACTTCACTGTCAAAGGTAATTAGTGTACTGCTTCTTTATGGGGCAGCCAACAAGGCAAGGTCACAATCACTACTTTGGCATGTACAAATCAAAGACCACCTCAAAACAAATAAGTTTATGCCCGCTTTGCCTTCATTGACATTGAGATAAACTGTGTGACCCCAACAAGGGTGCAAATATCCACACCACTGCTCCTCTAATGAGTTTTTTGTCTTTGCCATTGATTCTTTATCTAATCAATTATTGTGACCTTGTTTGGTCAAACAAATATACTAATGAATGTAATTAAAACGAGGAGATTGGATTACCTAATTAAATATGTGACCTGTTGGAGCTGGATTTGCTTTTATATTGAAATTTTTTGTTTAGCTGAAATGACCAGAGTCAAATAGCATACCCTCAGTAGCATTCACTTTTATATTTGAGCAGGCGCTGAAGTTTGCCAGGAGATATACAGCAAATCTGGAGCGTGCATTTGAATAGGAAGCATCATATTGGCATCAGATCCCTTTATATACATTTGCCAAGTAGATCAGTGATGTAATGGGATATTTCTCTGTCTGATTGTTCCTGTCTAAAAGATTTATATAGTATATAGTGGTTTCAGCAGAATTTTCCAGCTGTGCACTTTTAGATGGAGCCAGGATTTAAATTTAAGATGAAATATGTTCCCTTCTGTCAGTCCATATCTTTAGAGAATTTTAGGCCCGCTGATTCAGATCTACAATTTAGTTTAAATGACAGTTAAAAATTACAATTGGCTGTCCCTGGTGAAACCTGACTTGACAGCACATAGATAAAAAAAAGTGAAAACAGATGACTCCACATCCAGATAATATGTAATAACAATGTTAGTTTGAATAAAGAAAGCCAAATCTAGATTCAAATGTAATATTCATTTTAGAAATATGAACGACTGGAGAGTAAAGGTTAAAAAAAAGAAAAAAAGAGACAACATCAACCAAATCCTTCATATAGCAATAGTCTTTCCTTATCCCTGAGGCTATGGCCTGGCTAAAACCTCAATGCAGCAATTATTTGCTGTAATGACTGCAGTTGAAATAAGCCTGGAGATTTTATTAAACCAAATGAGAGAATCATCTGTGTATTATCACCTTGTGATTGACAGTGACAAGTGTTGGGCAGGCTCGGATGTGAGCATGATGAAGAAGCTCTCGGCAAAGCTCTCGATAATGTTACCCCTGATAAAGTTGCCTGGAAAACCTCAGCCAACATACGGGGAGGGAAAGCTCCACGCATATTAATTCCAATTGTCAGATCCCTCCAGTATGTGCGGGGGGGGGTTCTAGTCTGGCTGGCAGCCCTGGCTGCCCCTCTATTCACTGACTGGCATTTTACACAACTAATGAAAAAGAAATCCATTGTGCTGATCATATGCATAGATTTCATTCTATAATAATGATGAAATAGAAATATTCATAATAAAAGTAAAGGTCACTCACTGCTGTGGCTAAGCTTCCTAAGCTGCAACCTTTGCAAGAGCAGTTGTTAGGTTCCAGTGATAAAATAGGAAAGAAAATGGAGAGACGTCAAGTTTTAACCATACAGAAGCCAATATGTGAAACCCTGTGACCAATCCAATCTGCTGCGAACTGTACCACTACTGTACTCTCTCCAAAACAACACTGCTGATGTCTTCGGATTGAACCAACAGGCCTGTTTCTTCAGTGTCCAGTGGCAAGGTTAAAAGTCAGATGCACAGTTCTGATTTACATTGTTCTCTCTCTGGAGTGAAGTTTGACAGCTAGTGTATACACACTGCGGATTTGTCTGTCTAGTTAATAAAACACAGGGAAATATTAACAGCCACCTTTCCTCTCTGCAGCACACTCATCCTCCATATGTAGGTCATCTGAGCTCCTACAGGTATATGAGCAGTGGAGCACAGGGGTGGAAGACAAGCATGTCTCTCCTGTGAAGGACATTCACAAGATTATTATCACCCGCTACCACTTCCTCGCTGAGCCTGTCTTCATATGCATCATACATTGGCATTTATTAGTGCCATGCTCTAAGTACAGGCCATGTTATTGAATTTGAATATCAGCTCCTAGCCACATTCACAGGCCTTGGAAATATATTATATTAAGATGAAGCAATCTCATTTAATAACACACAACTAATAAAAGGAGAACAGATTGGAAATTAAATTTATGAATATTGCTTGGCAGCAGGAGAGATAAAAAAAAAAAAAA